AGCCACAGTGGACGCAGTAGCGACAAACATTATTGCAAAACCGTACGGTCGCAAAAAGCCGTTGTTTCAAACATTTTCAATCCCAAGCAAAACTAGAACAAAATGTGAATTAATACGTACGATGTTTCTTGAGTCACAATTTGCTTGTTTTGCTGGTATTTTATCATATTTTGCTTCTTGTAGCGTTTACAAGGTAGGTCGGATTACCCTGGCGCTAAGGTAGCCCTAGCTCTAGTTCTCAGCTAGGCTACCCTAGAGCCGTGGTAACCCTACCTGCCTTATAAACACGTCCATTAAAAAAATGAGAAATGTGGGAGTGCTAGGGCTACCCTCTTGTTAGGGTAACCCTAATGTACACAACGTGCCATTTAGCCTGACAAGCATTTCGAGCTTTGGTCTCGATGATCGGCAAACCGTGTTTCCAACTGATTGACTGAAAAAGGTTTAACGCAGTGAAGCTTTATTTGGAGGCTTCCATGATCTAACCAATTGCAGCCATACAGCTCTGACAGGCCCTGAAGGTCAAATAGTAGTAGTAGTATTCTTCTTGTCATCACACGGACCCTAGATTACTTTCTCCCCTTTGCGGGTGCCTTTCACGAATAATTCTTACGCCTGCAGTTCCAATAAAACAAGGAAACATGTTTCCAGGAACATTCATATAGCGCGTACATGTTTCCCCAACTTTTCTTCGTTTTGCCATACGGGAAACATTTTTTCCAGCGTCAATTTTTGTTTCCAAGATGCGAATTATGCTTCCGCTACACGGCAGAGAATTTTAACAAAAATCCGAGCATGAGAGCAGTTGCAAAAATTTTTTGAGTGCGAGCAAGCGAGCACACATCTATTTTTTGCGAGCAATTCGAGCAAAGGCCCAATTTTGCGACCACTTTTAAATTAAATGGGACCATTCGATACCCCTTCTTAGCTGTCCCTCTTAGCCCTTGGGGCCTTGACACCAAGAAAGAGTGGTGTAACGATAAGTTATAAGCCCCAAAAGCTGTAATTAGGGGAGTTTTTAGGAGGTCATACTGTTGCTATTGTAATCTAATACGTCACAAAAGTGATAACAACGTGTTCACCAATGATTGGGCAGTTTTTTGACACCATGATTGTAGTATCAAGTGATAAAGAGTGGTTATAACGACCATCAAAATCCAAGTGCTGGAAACTGTTTTGAGCCACCTTAACATCACAGCAACAAGGGCAAAGGACTTGTCACGATGGCCCCATTTAAAGAGCCTTCAAATCCCTGACGTTGATGACAAGCAGGTGACAATGCTGATTGTTGCAAATGTTCCTGAAGTCCAAGTGCATGAAGAATGTAGGAGAGGGAAATCATGAAAGCCGCTTGCTGTTCGCACTGTACTGGGAGGGGCTGTGCTTGGACCAGTGGATGTGGCTAATACCTTGTCCTCTCAAACAGTGAGTGTAAATTTTTTGACGTATGGTGATGAGCTGTCAGATCAGCAGATGAGACAATTCCTGAGGCTTGATAACATTTACATGAACAGGATTTTCAAGAAAGCTATGTCAGTTGAAGACCAAGAGGCACTGAAAAGGATGGTAAACTCAGTGCGTGAAGTAGATGGTCATTATGAAATTGGCATGTTGTGGAAAAGTGACACCCCTTGGCTGCCAAGCAAAAAGCAAATGGCAGAAGCAAGATTTCAATCCTTAAAGAGAAAACTTTAACGCGACGAGACGTTCCACAGAACGTACAGAGAGGTTATGGAAAACCTCGCAGAGGCTACGCCAGAAAGTTGACTGAAGAAGAGGCGGCATGATGAAGCGGAAAGACGTGGTATTTGCCACACCACGTGGTATTTCAAAACAAGGCCAAAATTCGTGTTGTGTTTGATGCAGCTGCTATGTATGACGGAGTGTCACTCAACAACCAACTGCAGCAAGTCCCTGACCTAACCAACAGCTTGCTGGGTGTTCTGCTGAGGTTTAGATAATATCCTATAGCAGTTGTAGCTGACACAGAGGGCATGGTAAACCAAGTGACGGTGCCCCCAGAGGATTCTGATGCATTGAGATTTCTTTGTTGGGAAAATATCGACCTTGGAAGTCCCTCAAAATTTCAGATGACAAGTCACATCTTCGACGCCAAGGACTCGCCCAGCTGCGCAAACTTTTGCCTGAAGCGAGCAGCAGAGGATAGTAAAGAAAGATTCAGTTAAGAGGCTATGAATGCCGTCACCAAGGACTTTTACGTTGGTGACTTTGTGAAGTCTGTTAGGACAGTAAATGAAGCAAGTTCGTTAGCAAGTGAAGTAACATGTTTACTCAGTGAAGCCGGATTTAGGCTAATGAAATGGATGAGCAACAGCCGAGAGGTGCTGTCTGAGATACCTGATGGAGAGCAGGCGAGACCGACGCTGGATTTGGATCTCGAGGACCTTTCAGTAGAAAGAACGTTAGGAGTTCAGTGGGATGAAGAGAAAGATGTCTTCCCGTTTAAGGTTCGTGTGCCTCACCAACCACCTACAAAGCGCGAAATTCTGCCAGCAGTAAGTTCGCTGTATGATCCTATGGGATTTGTTTGTCCAATCATTCTAGAAGCTAAGACGATTTTACAGAAGTTGTGGAAACTGAATCTGGGATGGGATGATGAAATACGTGAAGATTTACCGAACCACTGGAATAAGTGGAAATACGAGTTCTCTGCATTATCACAAGTTCAGGTACCGAGATGCCACCTGGTCAATGGCACAGTGCGTGATATATCTCTTCATCTATTCTCAGATGCTTCTGAAGATGGCTATGGCATGTCTGCCTATCTTTGATTTGTTTATGCCAGTGGAACTGCTAGATGTTCGTGTTTGGTTGGAAGGTCAAGGAGGCCGATTTCCATTCCTAGGCTTGAGTTGCAAGCAGCTACATTATCTGTGAAGATATACCGAGTGCTTGTGGATGACCTGACGTAGGAGATAAGCAAGGTTAGATTTTGGTCCGATTCTCAGACGACACTGCAATATGTCAAGAATGAGACCAACCGATTTCAGACATTGCCAATCGTGTGGCTAAAATACGTGAAGTTACTTCGCCGGACCAATGGAGGCATTGCCCTGGAAAGGTTAATCCTGCTGATGATGCTTCACGGAGCTTAAACCCTCAGAAACTCTCTAGTCAACTTCGGTGGTGGAGAGGATCCGATTTCTTTTGGGAAACAGAAGAGCTGAGTCAGTCAGCTGGAGCCATTGCTCGCAGTATTTAGAATGAATGCTTTCCTGAAGATGTCAAGGAAGTGTAGCAGAATAAGGAAGTGAAAATATCTAGCAGGCTAGGAAGCCTAAGACCACATTTATAAGACGGAGTCCTACGGGTAGGAGGACGATTGCAGAAAGCTTTAGTGTTCTCATGGGATAACAAGCACCCAATGATCCTAACAAAGCACCATCATGTGAGTCAGTTAATTTTTCGGCACTACCATGAGTTTGCTGCCCATAGTGGGAGGGAACAAACATTGTGTGAGCTGCGAACAATGTTCTGGATCATTGGTGGAAGAAGCCTAGTGAAGAAGACTATTATGAACTGCATTAGGTGCCGAAGAATGAATGTTAAACCCATGGAGCAGTTTATGCAGTCTCTACCGGAAGCAAGGCTGGATGAGTACCACCCTCCATTCACCTTTACTGGTGTTGACCTATTTGGGCCACTAACAGAGTGGGGCCGCGGAACCACGAAAAGATGGGGTTGTCTATTTACTTGCTTACAACGCGTGTTGTCTACCTGGAAGTGACGCCATCACTTGAGACAAATGACTTCACCATGGTTCTTGGCCAATTCATAAGTAGAAGAGGACCACCGTACTCAAGAAAATTTGGTCTGACAGAGGGACCAATTTTATAGGCGCCAGCAGAAAGTTAAAAGAGGCCATTGCGCATTGGAATGAAGAAACGATTGAACGGCAGTTACAGCAGAAGGGCATCAAGTGGGTATTTCAGCCACCTGCCGCCCCCATGTGTCCGGAGTATGGGAGCGTCTGGTACCGATTACGAAGGAGCTAGAGATGGGCTTCTCATTGAAGTCGAATTGGGGACACTATTAGCTGAGGAGGAGTCCATAGTTAATAACCGTCCTATCGCTGCTGTTTCAGATGATCCTGATGATTGCTCAGCGCTGACGCCCAACCATTTTCTCCAGCAGAGAGCTACTCAACTTCCACCCGGAGTATTTGTGAATGAAGATCCGTTCTCCAGAAAGCGGTGAAGAATGTTACAATTCCTCGCCGATCACTACTGGAAGAGATGCCGTGGGTACGAGAATACATGCCAACTCTTCAGAGAAGAACGAAATGGGTCAAGTCAAGACGAAATGTGCAGATTGGCCACCTAGTACTTCTAGCAGAAG